AATGATAATGTATTGTGTTACCTTGCATTCCACTAGAATATTTCCTCAATTAGTTTTCTCACTTAGCACATTGCTGATGTGCTGGGTTTAGGCCCCTCTCCTTCCAGGTTCTCATAGGTGCTGCACTGGGGAAGGAGGAGAGGATAGAAGATGGAATAGAATTGTGAGAATCTCCCTCAGGTGTCAAACACAGCCCATGCAGTCAGTCCTGCTGTTCCCCACAATCACATGGTGTGCAGTCCTGACACAGACCCAGCTGCGTCTGACTCACATTGGCTTCAGTCAATGGCTGCTTTGGGTCCCGTGCTCATTTTTCTCGAAAACTCAGGGAAATGCGCCCTGGTCAGGATGGAGTTTGGTGGCCATGCAGGCAGCGCCCCCTGCGGGCCCGGACGGCACTGTGCCCCCGCCCCGCCCAAAGCGGTTCGTGCCCGGCCGCAGCCCCGGCTTCGCTCCCCGTGCGCCCACGGCGCAGTAATACACGGCCGCGTCGCCGAGCCGGGGCCGGGCGAGCCACAGGGCGCTGGAGCGGCGATCTGCCGACACCGACAGCTGCCCCTCCGGGTCCGGCACCTGCTTGGAGCCTGTAATAGTGCTGACGAGGAATGCGGGTCCTCGGCCCGGGAGTTGTCGATACCAGTAGATGTAATAGCCGGTCTGTATGCTGGGGTGTGAGCAGGTGATGTTGATGCCTGTGCCCTCGGTGGTCTCTACGGACGGCTCCTGCTGCACCTGAGCTCTGCTCACAGTCGCTGCGGGGAACAAAAGAAGATCCAACTCAGAAAATTCAATTGCTCCAACGGGAAATGTCAGATCAGATCCAAATCAGGTGGAAAAGCGACTGAGAGGAAAAGGCTGTGCAGGATGCAGCAGTGTGGGACGGGGATTCGCAATGAACGCAGCAGTTCAGAAAGAAAGGGAAGACGGGTGGATAAGGTGGACAGAGATCTCTGGAGACAGCCGGAATGAATGCAGCTGAGAGGGGGTGGGGCACGAGATTGGAAAAAACTCGGATGGCCAGAGGCGTTCGCGGCTCCGGCCCCCGCTGCCCCCTCCTTCAGTCCGGCCCCGCCGGCGGCAGCCCCGCGCACCCAGGAGCACCGCGGCCAGCCCCGCCAGCCCCGCGGCCCGGCACTGCCGCATCCCGCCGCTCCGCCGCCCGCGCCGCGCCGTTCCGCGCTGCCCCCGCCAGCCCCGGTTCTGTTCCGCCCGCGGCGCCTCCTCCCCCCCCCCGCCGCCGCCAGCTCCGCCCGAAGGGGCTGCGCCCTGCGCCGGCGTCACTCGGGCTTGCTCCGGGCAGCGAGTGCCGGGCGCCTGTGGGCGGGTAGCGGGGTTTGGGCTCTGCGTGTCCCGCAGCGTAGGCGGAGAGCTGAGGAACTGCTGCGAAAGCCCCTTCAGTACAGGAGAAAGCAGCTGCTCGCCTTCAGTGTCCCAAGCGAGTGGGGCAAGCGGTATCACAGACGGGACTGGAATGGTCGGGGAGTGCAACGCGGCCGAGACCTGTTCCCTCCGCTGTGCCTGGTGATGCCGCAGATCCGAAGCCCGGCAGCGGGAACGGGTCGTGTGCTGCTGCCCGGGAACGCGGCACCCCCGAGAGCTCCCCGAGCTCCGGGTTCCGCAGGCTGCTGCTGCTGCCAATGGCGCTGATGTCGCCCCCGAGGAGCCCGAGTAAGGCCGTCAGCCGGGCCGAGAAGGGAGGCTGGGAAATTTGAGCATCAGCTTTGAATGTGTGGGAGAACCTGAGAGGGACCATGGAAGCACGGTTACAGAGTCCCAGACAGTGTTCAACCAGATCAAAAGCTGAGCCCGTATCTCAGAGACATCCACACCATAAAATCTTACATAATTATGCATTAACCCACACCATAACTCACCCTTTTGGTTGTGAGGGGGCTATGCAGCAGGCAGTTGAAATGATCATGCTGAAATCTAACCACATAGCAATCACTTCCCTCAATTTTTTCACTTCTATGTAATCTTGTACAGGATGCAGTGAGGTTGCTCAGGCATGATTTACCCTCTGTACAACCACATTGGCTGTTGCTTAATTCTGTGCTGTGTTTTGTGCTCTTAGCAATAGCATCTGAAGACATTTCCTCTGTAGGAAAGGAGTGAAGGGCATACAGTTTCTTCCACTTTATGAAGATGGCTGTGATCCCTGTATTAAATTGCTTTCTTCTTTCATTTTCCTAGCTAGGACATCCATCCTTCAACTGCTGTGACCCTTGACCTGACTGAGAGCAGCCTCACAGTGGCATCACTCAAACAAATGCCTTTGGATACATCTTCAACTTATGGACACAAGTTTGTCCAACTGGAACAAGATTTCCATAAGGATTGCTCCCTTATAGGGAATAATGTTCCACTCTCCAAAACTCTGAGAAGAGATTCAGGGAACTGGGAGGCCTGAGGACAAACCTTACCCATGAGAACTGAGGAAAAGGAAGCACTCAGTATTTCAGTGCTTTCCATTTTGCTTCTCACCATTTCCACTGTCTCACGGACCAATGAGTATACATTCTCCTCAACCAGAGGAGATTGCGTCCCTGTCAGACCAATAGAGGCAAGTGCTCACAAGAGGAACAATGTTCAGATACATAGGAAAAGATGCACTCAACTGAGAACCCCATTCAGGAGAAATTTCAGAGAACTTTCAGTTTAAGACAGGGGCCTAACAGCATTCCTAGTGATGTGTGGTATGCAGAGAGACTGTGAAGAGAGGGAAATGTAGTGGAAGTCTAGCTGAAAATGCTGAAGCCGTTGACCTTGGCTAGACAAGTCTGCTC